AGCGATGTGTGCATGAGCTCTAACCGACGGGTTCACCGACAGGTGCACAGACTCTCTGTCTAGGTACAAACCGGTTTGTGCCGCGCCGGCTCATCCAGGGTATATGCGTAAGCAATCTGTGCAGGGTATGAACGAAAGGGCTGTTGGTCGGTCGTATTTAAATAAATAGATTAATGATATTTCATGACTTTATAAATAAATTAATTTATTATTTATTTACAGTTAGAGTTAAGTTTAGAAATTTTATATTATAAAATAAGACAATATAGATTTATCTAAGTAAATAATTAGTGTTCTGTATAAGCAAGATTTATTCTACTCTTATGGTTAAGGTTACAGTCTATATGTCCCAATGCTGGGCACAGGCCTCCTATAATTTCTGAGAGGGTTTTTTACCTTTATATATGCAAAATATAAGGGCGGTTGTTCTTTTAAAAAATATCAATATTTAGAAAAATAATTATAATTATTAACATAATTTCTTAAATTTTTCCCATGCATCAGGTGAAAACCCTATTAAAATACGTATAAATTTTTGAGGTTGTTAGGAAGAACGAAGAGGAAACTGAACTGGTCTCTCTTTCTTGTCTTAAAATGCGGGTTATAGTAGATTCGGATACATCTGTAATCATTAAACAAATGCTATTTTATTTTACTAGTTTATAAAATTTTTATATTTTAGTAACGTAAGTGACGTTACTAAAATATAAATAATATACTCACTTACTTACATACAAATATTTTAGTATCATCTAGCGAAATAGATAAACAAATTTAAAATATGGCCCACTACCATCCGGTACCCTAAAAATTTAGCCTAAATCATTGTAACTGGTCACCCTATAAACATATCGGTCATGGCGGCATCTTTTGCACGAACTTGTCGCAATGGAACGATTAGCTTGTTTTCAGCCTCTTCTTTTCCACAAAATGCCTAAACTTGAATAATAGTTTACCCTTTAAGCACTTTTTACCAGTTTCGACATTTTTAAAACTAACATTAAATTATTAAAAAGCAAAAGAGCACACATATAGCTCAACCGATCAAACTAAAAGAAAGGTCGCGGCTGAGCAAAGTAACTGTAGTAGATGTCCTCTACTGAGTAAACAGTGTACCAATCACTCACACGTCAAGTTAAGATGAAAGGACAATACACTATTCTCCTCGCCCAAATTCGATCAACTTCGCGAGTAGTGTAGAGGGGCTATTAGTCTACATATTTATTTATCTATGGCCTTAGTCTGTGTTACAGACTAATATGATCAGTAAACTAAATAGATCTATGAATGAAATCTAAATGAATATGATGTTTATTGTTTACCACAAACGAATAAGAAGTGCTAGTTGCTTACGCATAAAAACCAACCACAGATTCATGACCCACAGAGTATTTTCTTCTATTTATTATTGGACGGACAACGTGGTCTTTATTCAAAAATATATACAATGTTAGGACTACTTACATAATACGACTAATACAACGGGAAAAAATACACAAATACTATTAAAAAAAATAAACAATCATTTTTCGATAGTCCTTTTAAGTAAAATGATAAAATGGATTACAAATTAAAATTTGTAACCCATTTTTCGGCTGTCAGATCTCTAGATATAGGTCGTCTATACGCCAGTATATTCTAAATCTAATGAAATAACAGTTTTTTAGAGCTTCAAATTTAACAAAATTTAAAATGTCATAATTTGTAATTTAAAATCATAATCAGTAACAGTATGGTTTTCACATCTATCGGCACCTCGAGCTAAATTATATATATTTTTATATGGTTTACTTAATAATTAAATAACTGAATGAAAAAAAAAACGTTATATCCACACTAGCCTATTTTGCCGTATGGCGGTGGCAGTTTATATACAAAAAATTAACAAGGACAAACATCCAGACCCGGTACAATTATTTGTAGGCCATATAAATATATGTTCCGTGCGGGATTCTTAAGCGCGACCTTTAGTGCTGTAACTCATTGCTACACCACTGCGCTACAGAGTCGATCGTAATTGATATAATATATAACATACATATAGGTATATTATTTTAAATGTTTGATGGATAAAACCTTCTTAATTTGCATCAACATCATGCTGTACTTGCAAACTAATAAGGTTTTACCTTTTAAATAGATTTAGTATAAACTGATGTTAGAACAGATTGGCAATGCAGCAAAAATTTTAACAGTGGTAGAGCCACGCGGCAGCTTTTGCTGTCGCACGGATGGGCCGGCTCGAACCGGGGTGGTACCACGACCTCACAGAAAACCAGCGTGAAGTAGAGGTTTACCTCTGCGTTTCGCGTGGTGAGTGCAGGTGGCCGGAGGCCCTTTTTACTGGAAATGAGGCATTCCATCTTAGTCCTCACGGGTGACAACGCATCTACATTTTGATTTGTAATAGAGGATAGATGTAGATGTCTATGGGCCGCAGCAACCACTTACCATCAGGTGGACTGTGTGCTCGTTTGTCACCCTTATCCTATAAAAAAAACGCAAAAGAAAAAAAAGAGCATAGTGAACGCGTATGTTAGAGCGAGAAAGATAGGCTAGACTAGATCATTCACTTACAAGCTATCAGCCTGTATCAGCCTGGTCTGGTTTTTTTTAATTAAACTAAACTGATTAACAAACAAAGTAAAACGTACAGGCCTAGATTAAAGTGTACTGAATCTAATAAGACCAAAATTATTTTATTTTGTATAGGTTTAGGGGGGTAAAAGCGTTATCGCCGGAAACAATATTTCAAAAAGAAAATGTAGGCAAATGCCAAGACTTGCAACTCTCTCTATCGCACGATATGGGTCGGGGGGCAGGGGCATATTGTAGTGATGTTAGAGGTGTTATCGATATTATTATCGCCTAGGGAGGAGAAAATAATATCGATACCTACAAAGATAATACCTCTAAGGAAAAAGTTAATATCTGTGATTATTCATGTTTATCTATTATTTAGTAATTAATTTAGAGTCTTTATTGAATAAGGACATTAAATTAAAAAGATTTCGAGTGTACAATAAAGTAGGTAGGCAAATAAATAAAAAAGTAACAACTTGAAGAATTTATTATTGTTTATTATTATATATTACTTTATTACACTCTTTCTCGAACTGCCATTTTTCTAGGAACTCGAGGGTCAATCATTTCTGGTAACAGTCATTAAAAATAAATGAAAAGTCTTGGCTGCATATTTGCAGTCCAAAAGTGGTCTCCCCTATCAGTCAACCTATGTACATACAATAGTATGTAAGGTGGTAAAGTACGCGATCAAAGTAAGTAAGTACGCGTACCCACCCGTTGAGCACAGAGCTGTTGATTTTAGAAGCGTTGCCCGTCCTTTCGATTTACGAAGCAAATTGCATTTTTTTAGTTTTGTCTATAATATTTCTTTTCTATTCTACAATGTATAAAATTATTTTAGTTGAATGAATGTATTACTCAACTCATCATCACTCACATAGTAGATAGGTAGATACTTACGCCTCCGATACGTCATCCGAAGTTTTTAAGGTAGGAGTGCGTGTACCACCTTTTTGGCCGGAAGAACCAGAAATATGGTTTGCACAAGTTGAGGGCCAATTTGCTATTTCTGGTATCACGAGCGATTCCACAAAGTTCAGTTATGTCATTGGCCAGCTAAACTATCAATTTTCCAAAGAGATCAAAGACATTATTATCTACCCACCAGCCAGTGATAAATATATAAAGCTTAAAACAGAGATCATAAAGCGTTTAAGTACCTCACACGAAAAGTAGGTGAAGCAACTTCTTATGCACGAGGAACTGGCTGACAGGAAGCCTTCACAGCGACACCTCCAGAGCCTAGCAGGACCCCAAGTACCTGATGATTTTCTGCACACTATTTAGATCAGCCGTTTGTCGAGGAGCATCCAGACCGTGCTAGCCGCGCAACCCAGCGCATCATTGGAAGTGCTGGCAGATTTGGCAGACCTGTATCCGGTCTGCCAAATCTGTCAGGATATTCTACCGTCTTCACCGCAAGTCGCCTCTACGTGCCCGGCAAGTACACCCACACCTGGTCCCAGCTGTGACGCCTTAACAAGGGAAGTTGGCGAACTTTGTAAGCAACTGCAAAGACTTACAACACAGGTAATTAGGAGGGCCCGTTCCAGGAGCAGACACCACCAGCGTGGGCGTTCTTCGTCAAGATCGCAATCTCGTTATCAAAAATTCCCACTTTGCTGGTATCACGCCAAATATAATGGCCGCGCACATAAATGCCTGCCAACGTACGATTTTAAGGCGGGAAACTTACAGGACGGTCATTAATGGCGACTGACGACTGTCCTAACACTACTGGTCGTCTATTTGTCACGGACCGCACCTCAAAATCATCACAATTTTTGGTCGACACAGGAAGCGACCTCTGTGTTTTTCCAAGGTCTTTAATTCGTGATCGTCGTGCAGCCACCAATTGCGAACTCTGTGCAGTCAACGGGAGTACCATAAAGAGTTACGGCTATGCCCACTTCAACCTAGATCTTGGACTGCGACGTAGTTTTAAGTAGCGTTTTGTGGTAGCTGATGTTACGAAAGCTATAATTGGTATTGATTTCTTATCGTTTTATAACCTAATTGTTGATTGTCGAAACCAAGGATTAATAGATAGTACAACTACTTTAGTTCCTAATGTATCTTTAATTTCTTGTCCATATTCTGTTTCATCTGTGAAGGTTTCAACTGGCAGTTCGCTGTATCATAAAATTTTAGGTGAGTTTCCTGAAATCACGCGACCCGCTGGTATACAGCACACGATAACACACAACACTGTACACCACATTCGCATGACACCAGGCCCACCAGTAACTTCTTCCCCAAGACGCTTAGCACCCGACAAGCTCAAAATTGCTCGACAAGAATTCGAATCCATATTAGCCAATGGTACAGCTAGTCCTTCAGAAAGCTCATGGTCATCGCCTCTTCACCACGCACCGAAAAAAGACAACGGTTGGCGCCCGTGCGCAGATTAGAGAATGCTCAAAGCTCGCACGATCCCTGACAGGTATCCAATCAGACATATACACGACTTTACCCATAGTATAGCTGGTTGTAAGGTCTTCAGTACTATCGATCTGGTTAAGGCTTATAACCAAATACCTGTCAGTGAGTGCGACATCCCAAAAATTGCAATTACTACACCGTTTGGACTTTATGAGTTCCCTTACATGTCGTTCGGCTTCTGCAACTCAGCGCAAACCTTCCAACGATTTGTGACCAGGGGCTTAGAATTTTGTTACTGTTACCTTGACGACTTTCTAATATTTTCACGAAACGAAGAGGAACACGAGAAACATGTTCACACAGACAGACTCAAGAGACTCAAGACTGTATTTTTGGTGCTGACGAAGTCACTTTCCTTGGTTACCGTATTTCGGAAAGTGGCACCAAGCCCCTTGAAGAAAAAGTACAGGTCATTCTTGAGTACCCACAACCCAAGGAGGTATGTCACTTGAGGAGATTTTTGGGTATCATTAATTTTTATAGGCAATTTCTACCCAATGCCACCCAAACACAAGCGCCTCTTAACAACCTCCTGACTGGCGCAGTCAAAGGTCGCCAACCAATAACTTTGACAGATAAGGAAATCAAAGCTTTTGAAGACTACAAACGTAGTCTGTCTAATGCAGCTTTATTAGCCCATCCAGAGATTAGGGGGGGGGGGGGGCAAAATTCCGCTCAACACAATAACTGCTCGGGGCAAACTGAGCAACAAGACCAAGGCGACCCCTGCCACGCTATCCGTAAATTTCTGCAACATCAGGGGACTTCACTCGAACCTAAACGCCGTCCACTACCATCTTGAGACGGCGAAGCCGGCCTTGCTCTTTCTGACCGAGACGCAGGTGTCCTCTCCGGCTGATACTTCGTATCTCTCCTGCCCGGGGTACAAATTGGAGCACTCCTTTGTGCCTCGGGCTGGAGTTTGCGTGTATGTCAGAGAGGACATCTGTTCTCGACGCCTCGGCAGTCTTGAAGGTTCGGACCTGTCCATCCTTTGGCTACGCGTAGACAGCGACGACCATCCGCGCGTCTACGCGTGCCTCTATAGGTCCCATAGCGGTAATGCCGAAACAGACCGACTCATCGACCACGTCCAAATGGCTACAGATTCAATGCTACAACAGGTCCCATCCGCTGAGATCGTGATCCTTGGCGATTTTAACGCCCACCACGCCGAATGGCTCGGTTCACGTTTAACCGATCATGCGGGGAGATCTGTTTATGACTTTGCCTTGGCATATGGTCTGACACAACTGGTTACATCGCCTACGCGGATTCCAGATGTTGAGGATCATACACCTTCCCTGTTGGACCTTCTGCTGACCTCTCATCCGGACGGATATCAGGTTTCCGTCGATGCCCCTCTTGGCTCTTCGGACCATTGTCTGATCCGGAGTGTGGTGCCACTCACGCTCCCCTCGCGGTTGCGTTCTGCAGGTTGCCGCCGTGTTTGGCATTACAGGTCGGCGGATTGGGACGGAATGCGGTCTTTCTTTGCTTCCTACCCATGGGGGCGGGTTTGCTTCTCGCCGGATGATCCCAGCGCTGTTGCTGACTCTGTCACTGATGTGGTGCTACAGGGAATGGAACTATTTATTCCATCATCTGTGGTACCCATCGGATCATCAGGCAGATCTCAGCCTTGGTTTAGTCGCTCCTGTAAGACTGCATTACGCAGTAAGCAGGAGTGTTATCAAGCCTGGGCTGCGACTTCGGTGACTCGGGATGTAAACACCAGCACACTCAAAAAGAAGTATAACTTCGCCTCCAGGTCCTTCAAAAGAGTTATTGCCAAGGCAAAGTCAGAGCACATAGGCAGAATTGGCGAGAAACTAGTTCGCCTTCCTTCGGGAACCCGTGCATTCTGGTTTCTCGCCAAGGCTGTCCAAGGGAATTTCTGTAAGCCATCACTACCATCTCTGCACAGGGAGGACGACTCACTGGCCCACGACGCAAAAGAGAAGGCCGACCTTTTAGGCTCCCTTTTTGCGTCCAACTCGACTGTTGATGACGGGGGGAACACACCGCCGACCATCCCGCGGTGTGAGTGCTCCATGCCGGATGTGCGGTTCTCACAGCGCTCGGTTCGCAGAGCACTCCTCTTCCTTGACATCCACAAGTCGAGTGGGCCTGACGGAATCCCCCCAATTGTGCTGAGGACGTGTGCTCCGGAGTTGGCACCGGTTCTAACGCGTCTTTTCCGGTACTCCTACTCCCTAGGCGTAGTCCCGAAATCATGGAAGACAGCTTTTATCCACCCGATCCCTAAAAAAGGCGACCGCTCAGACCCGTTCAACTACAGGCCTATCGCCATCACCTCCTTGTTCTCCAAAATAATGGAATCCGTTGTAAACTGCCACCTCATGCGGTACCTTGAGGATCACCAGCTGATTAGTGACCGCCAGTACGGTTTTCGTCGGGGTCGATCAGCTGGTGATCTTCTGGTCTACTTAACTCATAGATGGGCGTTGGCAGTAGAGTCCAAGGGGGAGGCATTGGCCGTTAGTTTGGACATTGCGAAGGCCTTCGATCGGGTTTGGCACAAAGCGCTTCTTTCGAAGCTCCCTTCCTATGGGCTTCCCGAGAAATTATGCAATTGGATCACCAGCTTTCTTGCAGATCGGAGCATCAAGGTCGTTGTAGACGGTGCATGCTCCGACTACAAGCCTATTAACGCTGGTGTTCCACAAGGCTGCGTGCTATCACCAACGCTGTTTCTTCTGCATATTAATGATATGTTGCAAGCCGGTAGCATTCATTGCTATGCGGATGACAGCACTGGTGATGCTCTATACACCGGCCGTGCCAATATTTCTCGGGAAAACGTCACTGAGTACCGGAACAAACTTGTGTCTGAAGTCGAGTCTTTGCTGGACAAAGTCTCGGATTGGGGGCGACTAAATCTAGTCCAGTTTAATCCTCAGAAGACACAAGTTTGCGCGTTTACCGCTAAAAAGAACCCCTTTGTCGTATCTCCTCAGTTTCAAGGTACTCCCCTTGTTGCCTCAGCCAGTATCGGAATCCTTGGCGTCGACATATCGAGTAGCGTGCAGTTTCGTGGTCACTTGGAAGAGAAGGCCAAATTGACCTCTAAAAAGCTTGGCGTGCTCAGCAGAGCGGGACAGTATTTCATGCCGGCTCAACGCCTGCAACTTTACAAGGCGCAGGTTCGGCCTCACATGGAATACTGTTCCCATCTCTGGGCTGGGGCTCCCCAGTGCCAGCTTCTTCCACTTGACCGCATCCAGCGCAGAGCGGCTCGAATCGTCGACGACCGAGTCCTTTCCGATCGGCTCGACTCATTGGCACTGCGAAGAGATGTTGCATCTCTTAGCATTTTCTTTCGCATTTACCAAGGGGAGTGCTCTGAGGAATTGTTCGGATTAATCCCAGCCGCCAAATTTTACGAACGCACATCGCGGCAGAACTCCCGATATCATCCACACCATCTGGATGATTGGCGGTCCACCACTGTGCGATTTAGAAGATGTTTTCTTCCTCGCACAACTTCCTTGTGGAATAGTTTACCACCAGCGATTTTTCCGGACCGATACGACTTAGGGACCTTCAAGAAAAGAGCCTACTCCTTTTTAAAAGGCCGGCAACGCATCTGCAATTCCCCTGGTGTTGCGGTTGTTCATGGGCGGTGGTAGTCACTTACCATCAGGTGAGCAGCATGCTCGTTTGCCCCCTCTCCTATAAAAAAAAAATCTATACTGACCATAAACCGATCAGTTTTGCATTCCATAAAAGGAAAGACAACTGCTCGCCTCGTCAGTATAGACAGTTAGACTTCTCGTTCGACTCATGCGCATCGTCCGAGTGTTACGGACCTCCCGCTAGGGATGGGCAAAGGGAAAAATATATCGATATATATCGAATATATATTTTGGAACAGTATCGATATATATCGCGTGATAAATATCGATATATCGTCATCATTTCAATGATGTAAAGATAAGGTCCAAAATTTTATCTACTGACGGTTGGACAACGAAAAAAAACGACACATTTCAAAATATATCGAAATTGATACGACTTCGATACTCTAAAATAAATATCGATATGTCGATATACATCGATTTAAAATATCGACGATATATATCGATATGCTTATTAAAAAATATCGATATTTCGATATATCGATATTTATTACCCATGCCTACCTCCCGCCAGTCGGAACCTGCTCCTGACGCGAAGTGCATGTCGTTCGATGCTAACCGCTTTAGAATTGCCCGCTTACGTATTATTGTTTTTATTGTTAAATTATTAATGTGAACTTTCTCTGCTTCTTCTCTGTACTCTATACTTTCCTGCAAACTGTCTGTGCTTGTGCTATACTCCTGTATGTATATAAAGTTGCGTTGTAATTCGGAGTAAATATCAAAAGACTGTGAGTAACTTTTTATCGCATACCACAAAGACATTTTGTTGGTTAGGTAGTACGTCAGTGGTTGCAAACATTTGGTCCTAGTTTTACTTTGACTTACTTTTGAATAAACTGATTGCGGTATTACGTTGGTAGTTGGTACATATTGTGTTTTGAAAATGCAATGATCGCAAACATTTAACGCGTGTAATACCAAACCGATTTAGATGAAATTTTGCATAATGGTATAACACGATCTACAGGATTTTATCTTCTCCTATCAGACTTTTATTCCTAAGCTTGAACGTGTTCCTTAAGGAGCGTGATATAACAGAAATTAAGAAAAAAAAAACAAAATAAAGGTAACTGATAAATAAATAACAAAACAAGAAATAAAAATTATAATAAAAAATAATATGGCAAGTGAGACTCGAATACACGACCTAGACGAGTTTTATGACTGTTCGATACGAAAATCTGTTTGGTTTTATAGTGTGTCATCCGGCAAGTTAATACATATTATGTACTTTTTGTTTGTGACAAACAAAAAGATCTATTAAAACCCGCGTTAAAGAACATATAGCTGACGTGAAGCACCGACGTATCGGGAAGTCGGCAGTTTGTGAACATGTTCAAGATCGTCCCGCCATTACATTAGATTTGATAGACCACAAATCCTCGCAAAAGAACACCGATTCCTCCCAAGGATGATTCGCGAGGCTATTGAAATTAAAAAACATCCTAATTTCAATAGAGAAGATGGATGGGTGCTGCCATCTGCTTGGGATCCCATAATTCATCATCATCATTACAGCCCTTCACAAGTCCACTGCTGAACATAGGCTTCCCCCAAAGAATGCCAGAAAGCACGGTCCTGAGCCACCTGCATCCATCGACTTCCTGCATATCTTACCAGGTCGTCACTCCATCTAGTGGGGGGACGCCCTACACTTCGCCTGCCGGTACGAGGCTGCCACTCAAGAACCTTTCTTCCCCATCGGTTGTCGGTTCTTCGAGCTATATGGCCGGCCCATTGCCACTTCAGCTTACTAATCCGTTGGGCTATGTCGGTCACTCTAGTTC